TATATATATATATATATATATATCGTGTATTATACGTATTCTGCTGCAGGGCAGCTAAACCCTAAACCCTAAACCCTAAACCCTAAACCCTAGACTCTAAACCCTAAAAACTAACGATCCCTCTTTTTATTTATGTACTAGCTAGTCTGTAGTATACACTTGGTAAACCCTAAACCCTAAACCCTAAACCCTAAACCCTAAACCCTGTTGCAGTGTATATACACCTTTCTTATTAATTTATTCATTTGACGCGATCGGGCTATCTGTGCAGCAGCAGCAGATATTTATTTTTGTTTTTCATATTTTTTTATTTTTTTATTTTTTATATTTATAAATAAATTTATGTTTATTAGGAAACAACAAATAGAGTTTACGGCTGTTTCGTCTGTGTGTGGCTACTGTTGTTAATATAAACAAACGGGAAGCAAGCGCAGCTGCTGCTGCTGCTGCTGCTGCTGTTGCTGTTTCTATGGCTGCTGTTATTCATGCTGCTACGGTTGCTGTTGCTGCTGGTGCTGCTGCTGCTGCTGCTGCTGCTGCTGCTGCGCCAGCAGGTGAATTACGTATGTTGCTGTAGAGGCATCAACGGGTGCTACAAAGAGAAGAAGCAGCAGCAGCAGGTTGCAGCACTTGCAGCAGCAGCAGCAGCAGCACGCAATATCGTTTCATTGTCTAGAACAAAACAAACATAAACACAACGTAAGCCCCCAGGCATGGATGTTTGTGTTCTGTTTTTTTTTATTTTTCATACACTTATTGATGCATGCATGCATGCATGCATGTTTATGTGTTTAATGTATTCATATAATGTTTATTATGCATGAATGCCTCTGAAACAAACTCAGCGCCAAGAAACACAGCGAGAGAGGGATATTTGTTAAAACTCTGTTTCAGTTGCAATTTCAAGTAAAGTGAATAAAAATAAAAATAAGTGAATTCGGCGGAAAGAGAAAATAAAAAAAAAGAAAAAAGATCGTTTCTTGTTCATGTTTCACAAAGACGAATGCTGGTACTGCTGCATCTAAATGGAATATGCTGAGGTACCTACCGCCCCGGCTGTGTGCGGTGTTTCATTTAAAAATAAAAACAACAATAATTATAGAATTAATATGAAATAGTTTATTAAAATTTAATAAATTCTGCAGATGAAGAATATATATATATATATACAACTCAAAGAATGAATGCTGCTGCTTACTGCGGCGCTGTGTGGGTGGTGCCACTGGAATTCATATTTCGGGTGTATAGGCAGCTGTGTGTGCGTGGAAAAAGGGGTGATTGAAAAGGCATTTCCCATGAATGAAAAAGTTTAAAATTAAGTTTTTTAGATAAATAAATAAAAATTAAATAAAAAGAAATCAAAAAAAAGAAAATTCAAACATGGGAACAAGTAGAATACATCTCCTGTAAGCCAATCGAGTGTGTTTTGTGTGCACACGGAAAGCACTAATATTGAAACCGTATGCTGGTGTTTCGTGGGGTATGATTATGCGGGTTTCTGCATTATTTTATGAATAATATTGTTTTGTTTGTGAATTATTTTTGATTTATTTTGCTATTCAAGTTTATTTTCCTCAGCTTTCCCGCTATTTCTCCACGAAGGCCAGAGGTTTCCGTGTGTTCTAGCGGTCACAACGCAGTTCGGTTCTTGACTGGTCCGCCGCATTCAACATTTTTTTTTTTCTTTGCATTTTGTTGTTTGAATTTGTTTTTATTTCAGTTTGAGGATTTATACAAGTTTTTCTATTTGGCGGCTTTAGCGTGGTTTTCTTTCTACGCTTTTTCCCCCTGAAACCCAGACGTTGAGTCAGCAGTGCATTTGCATTTCATAAGCTTCTTAAACCCTATTTCTTCTGCACCTCTCTAGCATCTCGCCCCATACATAAAGATGGAGGTCGATAGAGTAATTCCTTCTCAATTTGTTTACCCCTCAAGCAAAACGGGGGAGTTTGTTCCTGCTGGGTTGGACCAGGCGGAGGGTTTCTATCACGGGCCTCCAGCAGCAGCAGCAGCAGCAGGAGCAGCGGCAGAAACAGCAGCTGATCCTCTCCCCCCAATGCCAGAATTTGTTTACCCGTCCTCTGTAGAGGTAGGGTCACCTCCTCCCCCTACCCCTCCATATGATTTAGGGGGCCCCTGGGCGCAGAAACGTATTATAGTACCGCCCTCTCCTTCTTCGTCGGAGCGCATGCATATGTATGGGGCTGTACCGCCCCGGTCGTGGGCGGATGCAGCGAAGGAGTTTCTGGGTAGTTTCATGGAGAGTCTCCAGGACCGTCAGCAGCAGCTGCAGCAGCTGCAGCAGCAGCAGCAGCAGCAGCAGAGGCAGGTGCAGCAGCAGCAGCAAATGCTGTATACAAGAGGAAATCATCCTCATAGTGGAATTGAGGGTTTTGTTGTTGACGCTCCCCCTCAGCTTGTGTATAACCATGTGGTGTATGTACCGCACCATACACTGCCTCCTGCTGCTGCTGCTGCTGCTGCAGCAGTAGAACTAAAGCGACAACCCTATGTAAATATATCTACGATTGCTGCTGCTCCTCCTCCTGNGCTGCAGCAGTAGAACTAAAGCGACAACCCTATGTAAATATATCTACGATTGCTGCTGCTCCTCCTCCTGCTGCTGCTGCTGCTGCTGCTGCTCCTGTGTTAATTCCTCTAGAATCAGAGATTGTTTGTAGGGGGCATCCAGCAGACAGAACAGAGCTTTGCTTTGGCTGTACTATACCCCCTAGACAGCTGAAATACGATATTATAAGAGAAGAAAGAACTGGCTGTTTAGGTTTATGCAAAAGAAATATATTTAAAGCCGTTTGTAGAAAATGTAGAGCCGTTATGCCTACATGCAACCAGTGCGGCAAGCAGTCTGTTATACGCCATCCATAAACCCTCGTAAACCCTCGCGTAAACCCTCGTAAACCCTCGTAAACCCTAAAAAACCCTTTTTCACAAACATAAACCCTCATAAACCCTAAAATAAAACACCATGGTCTCAAGCAGAGGCCAAGTGTTCTTCTTTTATGGCGGCGCAGTTTTGAGGGATATGCGCGCAATATTTGCAGTGTATATATACGCTCGAGGAGAGGAGGAAAATTAGGGTTTAGGGTTTAGGGTTTAGGGTTTATTGGGGTTTGGTCAAACCCTAACGCCGCCAAGCGCCTCCTCCTCAGCATTTGATGGCCTCTAGCAAACAAAATATTTTATTGAAATTTATTTTAACAAATATTTGAACGCTTGCAGGGTTTAGGGTTTAGGGTTTAGGGTTTAGGGTTTAGGGTTTCTGGGGTTTCTAGGGTTTCTAGGGTTTCTAGGTTTAAGGGCTGCTGGAATAGGGTTTAGGGTTTAGGGTTTACGTTACTGTTAATAAAAAGCCTTGCTGCAGTTAGAGGCGTCAACTACCGCAACAGTTTAGGGTTTAGGGTTTAGGGTTTAGGGCTTCGGGTTTAGGGTTTAGGGTTTAGGGTTTAGGTTTAGAGGAAGACAGATGCATATAAAAACAAACAGAAGAACCGTTACGGCGGCAGCTAGCAGCAGCAGCTAGCTGCAGCAGCTAGCTGCAGCACGTTGCAGCAGCACCTAGCAACACAAGATAGCAGCAGCAGCTAGCAGCAGCAAGCCGCAGCAGCACGCAGCAGCAGCACTCCGCAGCAGCAGCAGCTAGCTGCAGCAGCATCTAGCAGCAGCCCCTGTGGGCTTGTTGTTTGTACAGCAGTTGATAAAGAACTAAAAAATGCAAATAAAACTGAAATACTGCAATTTAATTTGTTTTTTTAATTATTTATTTATTTATTAATTTAATTATATCAACGGAGAACGAAAGCGTTTTTATTTTCATCAGAAAAATAAATTTAAATTAAAATTTATTTATTTTTTATTTCTTAGCTGTATTTCTGCTGCCACTCGGCTGCCAGCATTGCGGTGTACAGACAGTTGAAGGTTTTTACAGCTTTAACTCTTTTTTTAATTTAAATATAAAATATATAATCTAGGAATAAAGAAAGAGAGAATAACTAATGCATTATATACAAAACTAGTGCATGCAATACAACACCCTAAACCCTAAACCCTAAACCCTAAACCCTAAACACTAAACCCTTTTAAAAGGAAACAATTTATCTCAACGGCGATGAGCCTCGTTTTATATATTTTCATTGGTACTTCATCTGAAATTAAATTATTTTTTTTCTGTTTTTCTTTGTTAATAGAAAAAAAAAAAAAAAAAAAAAAAAAAAAAAAAAAAAAAAAAAAAAAAAAAAAAAAAAAANTTTTTTTTTTTTTTTTTTTTTTTAAAAAAAAAAAAAAAAAAAAAAAAAAAAAAAAAAAAAAAAAAAAAAAGAAAAAAAAGAAAAATTATATCCCCTGCATGCAATTTGATTGACACAGGGAAGCGTTCAGCTAAATATAAATTTAGAAGAAATAAAAGTAAACAAAATTTATAATATTCGCAGCAAAAAAAAATAAAAAAAAAATAAAAAAAAAAATAATTTGTTGGGGTGTATGCGTTGCATATGTTTGTTCATCAGAGTTATTGAAATTGTGCTGAAACTTTATTTTTTTTGTCTTTGTTTTTTGTTGAATATTTTAAAAAGAATTAAACTTTTTAATTTCATTTAATTTCATGTATTTTATGTCGATATTTTTTTTGTATTTTGCGTGGATTGGGGTGTATGTACAGCTCATTTGTATGCACCATATGCTGAACAGCAGTATTCACGTTGATGTTTATCTTTTTTTTTGGTTTTTTTTTTGTAATTTATAAAATTAATGTTTTATTTTTATTAATTTAATCAAAAAAACACAAAAAAGTTGAGGTTACCGGCGATATGACCCCGAAATTATGCTGGTTTCTCTTGGGGGTTGCGTGGAGTTTCAGGTGTATTTCAACTTTTTCAGAGCCAACGAAACTTCCTTTTTTTTATCATTCAACAAATTCAATTTCATCAGAATTAGAAAAATTAGAAAAAATATGTTTGCAGCTGTCTATACACCGGAAACCTATCGATAAATTTAATTATATTTATATTGTTTCCATACAAAAAACTAAAACTCCGCTCTCTCGTTTCTTTCTTCTTGCTGGTGAACACGCCAGAGAACTCATCACTGCTGAAAGTGCACTTCACTTCGTTAAGGGTAAGATAAACCCTAAACCCTAAACCCTAAACCCTAAACCCTAAACCCTATACCCTAAACCCTACACCCTACATCCTAAACCCTAAACCCTAAACCCTAAAAAGTAAACCCTAATGAAGCATAAACCCTGATAAACCCTCAAACGTAATAAACCATACTACACGCTATAACATATAAACCTTAACCCTAAACCCTCACAAACCCTAAACCCTAAACCATAAGAAACCCTAAACCCTAATAAACCCTAAACCCTAATAAACCCTAATAAACCCTGAACCATACGAACCCCTAAACCCTAAAAAGCCCTAAACCCTAATAAACCCTAAACCCTAAACCCTAATATATTTCAGTTTTATGCGGCCAGGAGCCCTCAATGAAGAAAAAGGCTGAAATGGTTTTATCTAAAACTTGGTTTAAAATCATCGTCAACGCTAATCCTATCTCCAGAAAAAAAGTAGAACAAGGACACTTCTGTGTAAGTGCATGCATGCATGCATGCATGCATGCATGCATGCATGCATGCATGCAACTCACATACATCCATGTATGCATGCATGCATGCAAGTCACATACATTCATGCATGCATGCAACTCACACACATCCATGCCTGCATGCTTGCGTGCATGTATGCAACTCACATGCCTGCCTGCCTGCATGCATGCATGCATGCATGCATGCATGCATGCATGCATGCATGCATGCATGCATGCATTAGGATAAAAGAGTAATTGAATGATATTTATTTTCAGCTGCGGGTGAATGAAAATAAAGTCGACCTCAACAGGAACTGGAATGGTAAAGAAATAAATTAATTAAAAAAATAAAATAAATATAAAATAAATAAATAAACAAAAATAAAATAAATAAAAACAAACAAATAAATAAATAAATAAATAAATAAAAGTAAGATAAATAAATAAAGATTTGGGTGAACGAATGTTTATATTTCCTCTTATTATTAAATTTATTTTTATATTAGTAGCAACAAAAAAAAAAAACAAAAAATATTAATTATAATAATAAACAATAATAATAAAAAGAT